ATGCCTAAACTGTTTGAACACTGAACTACCTGAAGTAGTATGTTGCCACATAATTGCTTTCCAAAATCTATTGAGACCTCCCTGGTCTCAATTCATCTGTCAGTCGTTTGAAATACCAGGTTCCAGCCCGGCTGCGGAGTTAAAAGGACTCCCACTTAATCGTCTCACATGACTTCTGAATGAAATCCTTTTCTGGAACTAGTTGCCACTAGTTGTCATGCCACTGCGACTTTAACAACCTCCTTATCCGACCAATCGGGTCCGTACGTCGAATCTTGACGTCACCAATACAGGCTAAAAGTGATTGCTACCTAACCGATGGTAGCCTTACATCACAAGCAATCTTATACGGCCCATTGCTTTCCTGATCCCATAACTGTAGTGGCGCTCCTATAGTCCTATCACTGGTTCAACCAAATCTAATCCATCTGGGTAATTCCGAAATCCAATCCATGGATTTCCTTATCCTTACTGCTACACCCGAACTTGGGGGGGGGGGGGGGGGGGTACTACTATTCCTTCCGCATTTTAACAACACGCTCATGACATCTACCAAGCTAGTGAAAGTTGCGGCTACACCCACAGACTTACATCACTCAAGCACTATCTACTGCTAATGAATGATACGGCTACTCTTACAGTCTTACAACACTTTCCATACTATATGATCGCTAGTGAATGCTACGGCTACTCCCCGTAGTCTTACAACACTTTCCACACTACCTGATCGCTAGTGAATGCTACGGCTATCCCCGCAGTCTTACAACACTTTCCACACTACGTGATCGCTAGTGAATGCTACGGCTACCCCCATAGTCTTACAACACTTGCCACACTACCTGATCGCTAGTGAATGCTACGGCTACCCCTGTAGTCTTACATCACTTTCCATACTAGGTCGAACACACACTCTACCTAACACACAACTGAACTTGAGTCCTAACTGGAGCTCTAACTTGATTCCCGTAACCTGCTATCACATGACCCCATTGTATCAGTACCGCACCCATGCCCGTGATCTAAGTGTCACAGTAATCCACGAAATCATCTACACCCTCTGGCAGGGTGAGGATCGGTGCCTCGTACAACCGCTGTCTGGGAGTCTCGAAGGTTGCCTGCTGCTCATACCTCTAACAAAAGGCCACCGATTTCTTGGTCAGGCGGGTCAAAAGGAACCTCAATCTCAAAGAATTCCCTTATAAATCTTCGGTAATTACCCGTTAGACCCAGGAAACTCTGAATCTCGGATGGAGACCTCGGAATCTCCCACTGCATCACGGCCTCTATCTTGGTCGGATCGACTAGAATACCCTTCTGGTTGACAAGGTGCCCAAGAGATTGCACCCTGTGCAACCAGAACTCACATTTAGAGGACTTTATAAAAAGTCTCTCCCCCACTTAGATTCTACTAAGTCTTCACTGCACGCAAGAATTGATGGATTTCCGATCCTTCTCGCTTCCTAGTACTTACCAGTGCTAGCGATCTATCACCAACCAAACCTTAAGATCACCCATCCTCTGAAATATTGAAGAGTACTCTTGAAATCTGGTCCAATCTGACACCTTAATCCCCCCCCCCATGCTGACATCTGGAGGCCTTAATTCCCACTCTGGCTAACGAATCCTCGCCCTCACTTCAAATCTTGCAGCATTACTAAACTCTAACTGAACACAGCCCATGCGAAAATACAATTCTCTTGAACATGCGATGACCAACCACTTATACATCTAACACCCTCGACTGACACTACCCATTTCATGTCACAAACTCTGTCCTAACAACGGTAGTGCCTTGAACTCCAAAGTTCATCCATAGACAACTACCGACCATATCTGAACAATGATAGAACCCCTAAACGCTGACTTCACTGAAGAACTGTCACTCTAACCCTGACCGAGTATCCTTTAAATAATACTCCTGCACGGATCCCAACAAAGATCTGGAATGATAACGGTACACGTGGAACCCACTCTGTAAGATGCATCCCTCTGTGGGTTCATCAAGGACCTTTCGGCATGCAGGATGACATATATGATCCTTGATAACCCAAACAGTAGCAGGAAACCGACCCGAGATCTAACTTATCCAAACTCATTCATAACTCCAACGCGATACGTATTCCTAACATCCATCTAGTAGCAGTAAAAGATGACATACCCGCAACATCTGGAAGAATCCGAGTCACCTCCAGCTGATATGATCAACCCTACCACACCTGTAGCAGCCTAAACCCTTGGAGTGACAAACTCCCTCATGTACTTTCTCGTACACGTTGCACTGACTCAGGCCCTGCTTTCCTTTCACTCGATGATCAGAAGTAATGGGTCTCTTCCCGGGACCTTCTACTATACGCACCTGGCACGAACCTCTCCTTCCAGGGTGTTCCAAATCGATCTCGCATCTGAAACTTCTTGGAAATCATATCCTTCAGGGTCTGACACCCTGTCACGCTCACTAGCTCGCTTGCCCATGGCTAAGCTGCAACAACTGGAACATCCTTTATCCCCAAACCAGGTCACTAACTCCTTCCCAAAGCTTCTCAGATTCTCCAAGACTCTCACTGATTCGAGTATGGATCATGTGCTTTGAGTAGTACGGGCCCAATACTACCTTCCACACCTATCCATACTTTCCTCAGCAATTCTCCCGAATCCTCCAAGTCACTTCCTCAAACTGGTACTCCTAAGTCTTAATCATCCACACTACTAACCTACTGAAACATATCCTAGGCTTCCCTAGGTTCCCAAACTCACCCAATCCTCAGCTGCTGAAAGATTCCCAGTAATGTCAACTAGCTACCTCATGAATATAGCTACATGCAATAGAGATCAGATAATCCTTCGAGTATAAGACTCATACAATCAGGCATAACCTAAACAGGCTATCCTATCACTAACTGATCAGTACTAACATGCAAGTCTACAAGCACATATAATAGGCATATAAGGCATCCTCCTAGATCCTTAGCCCTAATCTAGCATGCAGTTCTCATAATCATATCATATCATAACATCACATGTATGGGTATCTTGGGGAAAACTTACTTGAGCTCGACTGATTGCACGCATCACACACATTGTTATTTTTAAAGTTCTTTTATCTTTTTAGTTTCTTTTCAAACTCCTTTTTATAAAATAGTTTTACTTTTAAAAATTTTCATACCAAGCCCTTAGTTTGAGTTCAGACACACCCGAGAGTATGTCCGAATCCCTCAAACCAAGGCTCTGATACCAACTTGTAACAACCCAAAATTCAAGACCAAAAATTTCATTTTAATTAAGTTATTATATAAAACCAACAGTATAAAACATTCATATTAATATCTCATGTCAAAGCCAAAGTGGAAATAATCCAAAACATGTCAATATAAAACAATATCATAGTATAATCCCAAAGATCTCATGTGCGGAAAACATAGTGTGATACGTTGCGATCGAGCCGACTCCTTTCCTTGAAAACAAAGTACCTGAAAGCAAACCCGATACGACCATTCTAGGGTGCCGACTTACCCGTGTCAAGCCATTCTGGGGTGCTGACCTATCCGTGTCAAGCCATTCTTGGGTGCTGACCTACCCATGTCAAGCCATTCTGGGGTGTTGACCTACCCGTCGGTCCTAACAACCGACCCTCGAGGACTATTCCACCCCTACTGCTACTATCACATATATCATAACATAAACATACTATCAGACATGTCTGGGGTGTCCGAACTGCCCTTCGGTCCTAACAACCGAACTTGGGGACTATTCCACTCCTACTACCACTATCACATATAACATATCATGCTAGCATACAAACATATCATCACATACTGTCAGACATATCTAGGGTGTCTGACCTACCCTTCGGTCCTAACAACCGAACTCTACTACTATCACATATAACATATCATGCCAGCATATAACATATCAGGTAGTAGCAAACCTAGATGATATCACAAAGATAATCATCTAATCATACAACTCCTACTGGTGGGCCGACATTGTGGCCGTAGACCCACCGCTACTGGAAGGTAACTCACCTCACACTGCTGAAGTCCTGAAGACACAATTCCACACTTGTTGAAGTCCAGCAGACTCGACCCCAGCTGTTGGATGACAGATTCTTAAACTGTCAACACCAAAATAACACCCAATTAATAATTGGGTCCCACTAAATAACCATAAGTACATTCTTTGGGTAATTACTACATTACCCCTAGCCTGGCTTATTCAAGCCCAAGGCCCAATCCATAGGCCCAAAGTCAATTAGGAATCAAAGCCCAACACATGGCCCAATTTTCCAAATTGGGCCTAGGCCTATACTTGGTCTTATTCTAAGGCCCAACACATATAATCATTAACGCCCAAACTATGGCCCATCTATGGCCAAATGTTCCAAATTGGGCCTAAACCCCTTACATGGGCCTTATCATAGGCCCATTAAATTACTCTAGACCATTTGCTTGGTCTTGGATAACCCATTTAATAACCCAATCATCAAGGCCCAATAGAAAGGCCCAACAATAAATCCAAGTGAAATTAGGGTTTCACATAAAATGATGATTAGGGTTAAGTTTCCTACTTAACCCATTAAGAACTTAAACCGTTAAGGACTTAATCCATTAAGGACTTCCAATATTGCTTAGATTAATTTCCGCCAATGCTTATTATTGAATATTCCAAGTTATTAATAAGCCTCGTGTGTCTCGATTAATTCCCCAAAATTAGGGTTTTGATGGCATTAGGGTTTTCCAAACCCTAATTAGGGTTTCCAACCCAAATACTAGCCCATTTATTAATTTGTTGGGTTTTAGATCAATTAGGACTTTATTGGGCCTATTAAGCCCACTAAAATATTATTAAGCCCATTAGGGTTTTATTGGGTCCCTTAGAGTCCATTAAGCTTCATTGAGCCCATTTGAGCTTCTTTGGGCCTATTAGGGTTTCAAGCACCCTAAACGAATCAACACCACGAGGCAAAGCACACCGCCACCCGACACGGTGGCCGGTGGCGACAGCCACCACCCTAGGGTGGTGGTTTCCAATTTCTTTCCATTATTTCGCTTTTGAGTTACAATTACAATGAAAATACAAAACAACACACACACACACACTAACTAAGCTAAACATACACACACAAACCACCTTGAGGTGGTCGGCGGTGGTGCATGGCAACAACTGACATGGCGGTTTCTCCTTTAGCTTCTCCGATCAGCAACCACACACACACGCTCCAGAAATACGACACCAAACACATACTCCTACACGGTTCTGATTTGCTCACATGATCCAACCATATATCAAGCGACGTCCGATGGCGGTAGCAAACTCACAAGTGGCGGCAGCACCCACCATGGCCGGCTGCCATGGTGGTTCTTCACAGTTACTCGACCAAAACCCCACCAACACCATAAGGCCTTTAACAACAGCTCCCGGAAACTAACGTCATGAGCTCCTCTACCCACAAGGCGGCGACGGGTTAAACAGAAGAATAGAAGAAGAATAGCGGCGGTGGCGATAGTGGTGAATGTGGTTTAAGGCAGCAACCAAGAAGCGAACAGCAGCGGCCTTCACGAACGAGTTTCCCGATCTCTTCATGCCTCTCGGACTTCGTCGGCGACATAATAGGGTAGCTACTTGGTGGTCCTTTGGTGGTGGCGATGAGATGAGGGCTGAGAGAGAGAGAGAGAGAGAGAGAGAGAGAGAGAGAGAGTTATAGGGTTTGCGGCTGAAGGAGGAAGAGGGAATGGGGTGCGGCCGACCTTTTCTTAGGGTTAGGGTTTGGCAACCCTTAAATACCCACTCCATTTAAATGTTCACCATAATGACCAAAATGGTCCCTCCAGCTCCTATTTATTTCAAAATAGGTCCATATTTTACCTTTTTAACCCTGTCTCTTATAACCCTTTACAAATCAAGTCCAAACTACCAAATTTCCCCTTAGCCTACAGAATCTCTTCAAAATAAATTCCAAAACTACTTCTAACCCCCGAATAATCAAATTTGTAATGTTTGGCTTCCCAAAACCAACATCCCAATACTAACATAGATTTAGGGCAATTATTCGTTTATTAAAATTTTATCTATTTATTTATTAATTAAACTAGGTGTTACAAGGGGTCCCCTTTAACTTCTGAATGAATTAGATTCGATGGCTTAACAAAATAATGACTTAAAGCCATGATTTTTAGCCTTAGACAGAGTTCAGGACGCGAGGAAACCCACCATTGAGTTGACTGAGTCTGGAATGAGTTGTTGGCTTGAACTGGGTCGACTCTCACAACGTGACTAAGGAATGGTCACGACGTGAGACCTTATATTCAGGTTTTGTCCAATATATTTGATCCAGTTGATTTTCGGCTTTAACCAGAATTTTGACCAATTTTGACTTAGGGGTATTTTAGGTATTTTGGCATGTTTGCTGAATTTGTGTCATTTAATTTATTAACGTGATTGGTAGCGTTGATCTCGGAGCGACGTGCTATTCAGTTTGCATATCTATTTGTGAGGTGAGTTTCCTCACTAGAACCATGGCCGAAGGCACTAATGCCGACCCATTGCTTGTTTTGTAGAACGGTAAATGCCTTGTGATATTTATATGGAAGAATAGGATTTGGCCCTGACATTTGCATAAAAGACCAGGTTCTGGCCCTTGGCAATTAAATGAAAGACCAGGATCTTACCCTTGGTATTTTTATGCAAGACCAGGATTTGGCCCTCGACACTGAACGGAAAGACCATTAATAGGCCCATGGTAAGAAATGACTATATGACTATGATTTGGCTTATAACATTTGTCTTCTATCATGTATGGTATGTGGTACTTGAGAAATTCACTAAGCGTTATGCTTACAATTTATGTTTATGGTTTCAGGCACATCCAATTCCAAAGGGAAGGGCCCTACGTGATGACACATCATCCTCCCCTCGTGGTTACCACATTTGAAATAATTTGTACTATTATGTTTTGATATAATGACTTGATATGGGTTTTTTAAACCATTAATGAATGACTTGATTTACTTTTAAATGAAAATTTTTATTACTATTTTCGGGACATTACATGTTCGTTCTTGGTCCCACGGATGACGTTAAATGTTACGACATGTGCTCGGACTGGCGGGTCTTTTGTATTGGATCCAGATTGGAGATCTGGAGGTGGTGTCGTCTACGTATTCCCGACTTGATACCTAGCAAGAATCATAACATATCGTTAAAGTTGCCCTAGGTCTTGAACCCAGGAGCAAACTCCGCCGATCAAGTTTGATCGTTATTGAAGATGAACGGCTTTCTCCTAGATTGAGAGAACCACTTTGGTGTGTGGGGTGTGTGTTTGGTCATGGAGGCGTGTCTAAAGCTCTAGGGTTTTTGATCCCTCCTCATGGAGGAGATAATTTTCTATTTATAAGGGACAATTAGGTCAAGGGAGAGTTAGGTCAGGTCTTGGTTTGGCCCAACTCAGACCCAGCTAGCGAGCGCCAGGAGCAGACGCTAGGTGAGCGCCAGGTGCGAGCGCTAGACAAGGCTAGCAAGTGAGCGCCAGGAGAGCGTCAGACAAGGATGGCATGCCAAGTCTTGACGTCTGGACCATGCTAATGGTCCATACATTAACATGTATGATTAACCATCCTCTCTAACTTGAGGGGGTATTAGTGTAATAACCATTTTATTGAGTTTGACTTTAGTTAACTACTATTACCGTTAGAAATGTAACTATAGTTAATTGTGATGGTTAGTGGTTAGTTAGAAGGTGGTTAGCTAATACTCTCTTTTGTATATATGTTTGTACAGTTAATCTTTTCCAAGTAATGAAAAATTATTCCACTCTTCATTTTCAAAACGATTAACCCATGTAATGACTCCATGGCATGGGGTATAGCCTCATGTTCATAGCAGGGGTTAATAGGTGAGCGAAAGCTGTCCAGAAACCCTCGTTCGGAAAGTTTCCTTTAAAAAAAGTTGAAATGTGAGCGGTTATTTTTGATGATGTGAGTATTTATGTCTTTTACACATACATGAGATTAAGAACAACTCTCAACCTCCAATTTCTTAGGTAGGACATAAAAAACATTTTTTTTGTTTTATTGACACCAATCTAAATCTCAGTCCACTACAATAACAATACAACATATTTTGTCATGTCATTACCTATATAAGATTAGGGTTGTACCTTACTGATGGCACCAAACTTTATCTTAGATTGCATTACGCACCATTTCTTAAAATGTACACCTGTTTATTCAACCAAAAGCGAAAAGTGTGAGGGTATAAATGGTATTTTAATGATCGTTTTCTTTCATGAATATAGTGCAACACCCGAATCTTGAGGAGCAATTATAAGGAATGAATCCCATTTTGAGGACTGGACACGACGTGTTGGAGGAACCAACACGACGTGTCAAGTTAAGGAAAAGTGTGGTTCTCATTAAGGTCAACATGATGTGTTGGTGTCTAAACACGACGTGTTGGAAACTGGGAAGGAAACCCTAATTTTTAGTATGTTGCACCTTATATAACCTCTTAATGTAACGCCCCAATTCTCAGGTATTGATTTAAATGAAAGTTTATCTGGTTTTAAGATCTACTCGACGAGTTGGTTGCTCTACTCGTCGAGTAGCAGTGGGGTGGTATCGCGTATTTAGTGGCTTACTCGCCGAGTAGGAGCTAGCAGAAGAAACCCTAGATCTCGGGGTTTTGCACCCTATTTAAGGAAGCATAAGCCTCTTTTGGCCTCTTTATAGCCCTTTGAGAGCTCAGAAAACCCTAATTCGTGTGGTGCTTCATCCTTGTGTGTCTTAAGCTTTAGAAAGGAGGTTTTTGGAAAGGAAGAACTTCGAGGGCAAGAGACTAGGAGCAAGGAAGGCGTGGGAATCAGGAATCTACCTTAGTTAGCATCATTTGGAGGTATCAAGTTGTCACCTTTACTTCATTTTCATTCTAGACCTCATTTGGTTGAGATTTAGGGTTTTTATGGTTTGATGGAGATGATAGTATGGGATATGAACTAGATCTGAAGTTGTAACTTCAGATCTAGACCCTTCTCGGGTTCTATAGTCATAAAGCTCCGAGCTGGGTCATGTATGAAGCCTCCTTGAGTATTAAACCCCCATTGTGAGCTTGGATTTGACATTAAGAGCCTTTTTAGCCATGCATGCACATAAAGTTTGCAACTTTACATGAAATGCATGCCTTAGAAGCTTGGATCTGTAATTTGGAGCCACTGAGGTTTCTCTAATTTATGTATGCGTGTGTAACCGTCGAGTTACAAGAAGGAACCTGACGAGTGGCCTTAGGGTTTCAATCGTAAACCGCAGGACCTCGACGAGTCACTCCGGTGACTCGGCGAGTGGACAAGTACTTTAAGGAACTCGGCGAGTAGCCGAGGGTACTCAGTGAGTTAGGGTCAACATCGACTGTTGACCTTGACTGATGGCTTTGACTTGGACCAGGGTTTGATTAGTTGGCTTTTGGGGTACCTTGAAAGGTTGGGAACTTATGGGTATGATTATATTATGGTAATAGGTGGTGGAGTTTTTGACAGTAATCCGAGGGTTGGGGTTCATCTACCGAGTTGGCATCTGCAAGGTGAGTTATCCTCACTGTATCAATAGGGTCTACGGCACCAAGGCCGACCCTTAAGTTGTTATTGTTATGGTGTGCGACATGTGGTTATGATCTGTGAGATCGGAATCAGGATAGACAGTATATTATGCTCTTATGTTCTGTAGGGATTGGTATGTTAGTGACCTGCTAGGTCGGTGCTCTAGTTACAAGAGATTTCTATGATTAATGATTAGTGAGATAGATATGTTTGATGTTTGTATATACCAATATATGATAGTTATGTGCACTTGTTTATTTGCTTGTTGGTTGGGTTGAGGCGGTCCTGCTTTGTATTGAAGGCCAACATACCCTATGAGCGGTTCGAGGAGACTGTAGGCCCACGTGGCGGTCCAGTCATGCCGAAGGCTCGGGATAGGATCAGATAGACTGTAGGCCCTGCAGGGCGATCCAATCAAGCTGATGGCCCAGTATGCATGTTATTGATTTTCTATTACTGATAAGGTGTTATCAGGGTGGTACTGGTGTTTTGGGGGTAGCTCACTAAGCCCTCGGGCTTACAGTTTTCAGTTTATTGTTTCAGGTACTTCAGGAGATCATGGCAAGGCGAAGGCGTAACCGTACCGCTCCTCATCCTTTTGATCTAGTTATTGGGACACTCTGATGAATAATGATTTGAAAACATTTTGTAAACAAATACTATTTGGTTTTATTTATGATTGAAAAAGTTTAAATTTAGTGTAAAATTTTTGGATGTGACACTTTAAGCCCTAGGGGCTAGTCTCCATACCAGCCTCCATTGACACTAAAACCCTAAAACCGATCCCTAAGTCTCTTGGTAGTGTTTTTAAGCTAGTAAGAAGCTTTTGGTGCACATTTTTGGGTTTTTTTTTTAAGTAAGAGGAGATCTTGAAGTTGTCTTGATTGGTGGATTGGCTTTGGATCCAGAGTCATTATCTTGTGGGAAAGCTTTCTGAGGTATTAAGTTTGCATCTTGGATTTTATATGTCTAGATCTCTTTATTTTGTGCCTTGTTGTGCTTTTGATCCCTTTTTAGGTTGGTAGGAGTGTGAAGTCATTTAAGGGCTTGTTATTCTAGATTTGATTATTTTTTTTGGTCCCTTTGAGCATAAAGGTGAAAGCTTTATGAGATTTATGGTGTCATGCATTCATTAAGTTAATTATTAAGTCCTTTTTAAGCTTAAGAGCTTCATTTAGACATGCATAAATGTAAATTTGGCAAGTTTACATGGTTTTCCAGCTCAAGGAAGTCAAATATGTGTTTTGGGGCTATGTCTTTATTGATAAAGTGCTTACTGGTTAAGCCCCTGCTATCAAGCCTTTTTGGTTGGGTTTGGACCCTTTTTGGTAGTCCCTATGGGCAAATATGGAAACTTTACCCTTCTAAGCCTCATTTTGGTCTAGATCTGAGCTTTGGAGCTCTTGGAATCGGAGAATGTAGCTTAATGTATTACGTTGAGGAAACGCGAGCAAACACGGCGTGTTAGCTGGAGTTTTCCCGATTATTTGGATGATGGAAGAGCACAATGTGTTTGCAAGTCAACACAACATGTTTGGTCAACATGGACTATTGACTTTGACTTTGACTAGAATTTTGACCAAAGTGGCCATGGGTTATTTTTGGGCCTTGGGTGTTTATGTGGAGATTGGACCTTTAGACAGTTGAATGGGGCCTTGGTTTTGGGCCAGGTTATGAAAAGGGTAAAAAATTTCTTTTACCCTGGTTTGAACACTTTGTATGAGTCGGATCTAATCATTGATGGATGGTTAACTTGTGATTGATAGCGCGGGGATTCTTACGTGCCAGCAGCCAAATATTCTTTCTGTGAGATTCGGCAGTGCGAGGTGAGTTTCCTCACTGTATTTAACGGGTCGAAAGCACCAATGTCGGCCCATGGTTTGTTATGCTTAGTATGCTTGTTGTCTGTATGACTCTTGCATGTGTTATGTGTTTATGTTTACCGAGCGGGGCTCGATGTCAGGCAAAGTCTAATGAGTATATTGTATGCTAGTAACATGTATGTGTTCTTCTGATTACCGGGTACAACCCGATGTCGGGTGAGGCCTGATGACCATTCTGTATGCTATGTATCTTCGTGATTATTGCATATGTTATGTATTGATGTGTTTATATGTTTATATGTTCATATGTTTTATATGTATGTTGGGCGGGGCCCGATGACATACATATCTGTATACCGAGCGGGATTGGATGCTGGGCGGGGCCCGATGCAAGGGCGGGGCCCATTATGTGCTTATTCGTATATGTATGGTATATGGTAGTTTGGGAAACTCACTAAGCTTTGTGCTTACGGTTTTCAGTTTATGTTTCGGGTACTTTGATTTTCTAATGGAAGAGTTCAGAATGATTACAGAGCACACACCATATGTTTCCACATTCTGTGATTTACTCTGATTTGATGATGTTTTGATAAATCTTGACTACCTTGACTTTATGAGAATGATACGTATTAACGATTTATTAATCTAAAAACAAAAATTTTATGTCATTATTTTTGGGACGTTTCATATAGAAGGGTACTTACCAACTTTAACATCAATAGAACACGTGTATTCGGATGTAGTCACCCTAGACCATCTCCAGTGCACCTGTTAATTTCTATAATATAAACATTTCTACATACAAACACAACCTAAAAACTAAACTAAAGTATAATAACATTTTTGGTCCCTATGTATAGCTATTGTTTCAATTTTGTTCTCAAGAACTTTTCTCTTGCAATTTGGTTCTTATTTAAGGTTTTTTTTTTTTTTTGCATTTTGCATTTTGGTCAAAAACTGTTCCAATTAAAATGACTATAGTTTTGGAACAAAAATAATATATTACTCGAAACTGAGACCACGTATGTTACAACTTACAAGAACCTCAAATGAGGATAAAATTTGCAAGATAAAACTTTTTGGGACTAAAATTGTAAAATTTAGCTATATTCAAGGACTAAAATTGTAAAAACATACCTTTTATTTATTTTTTGAGGTTCTTAATGGAATCCAATGTTGCTTTATGGGTGTGTTTTATCAAGGATTTGTATGGTAAGGATGATGGGTTCGGTTTAGGAGATGTAACCACAAACACAATTAGATCCTTTT